GTTTCGGTAGATTATTGTATATCCCGTTCTATTCGTCTATATTTTTTTTTTTTTTTTTTTTTTTTTTTTTTTTATTTTCCTTTCCCTTTGAAAGGATATTACGCCCGCGTTGCTGCAATGAGGCAGTACATTGAGCTCTTTTTCAAGTCTTTAAAGGAGGTAATTGGTGGAGACATAAAAGGGGATTTATGGAGGTGGTGCTGAGTGTACCGCATACATGGGCATTTTATGCATGTGTATAAACGTCCCCACGAGTTCATCACCCCTTGCAGGAGGAAGCCGTTCAGGTAGTGAATATCGGAGCCGGCTTGGACACCACCTTCTTTTGGATAAGCGTAAGGGGGAAAACGAATTGAAATAAGAGGTGAACAAGTGGAAGAGGGCCGTGTGGTCGTGAAGAGCACAATGTGGATATGAGCTAAAGCGCTTGCAAACTAGCGAAATCACAAGTGCTCTACGATTTGTTCGCATCCCATAGGAACAGCGGAAGAATGCAACCTATTACGAAATAGATTTCCATGAACTACTGCTGGAAAAGGCGAACATAATAAACCGCGTCGATGAGTTGAGGGGATTTCTAAAGGGAGTTGATGAGGGTGACGTTGCGAGCAAACCTAACATGGGTGCAGATCTCATCAACTGCGCAAACTACAAAATGCTCTCGTTGGACCTGAACAACTCGAGTCTGCTGGAGGAGCACTTAACGAATTGCGGGTTCGACTTTTCGATCCCTACTGTATTCATTTGCGAATGCGTTCTAATTTATTTAGAGATAGCGAGCAGCGACAGTTTAATAAAAACATTGGCTGGCCTTATGAGAAGCACCTCCTGCATATTGGTGTATGAACAGGTACCTCCATCAGCGGTGAGGGGAGCGGCATACTCGTCGCTCAGTAGTGTTGTATGAGGACAACTTTTTTCGTTCAGCGGTAGCGTGAACACTTGGAGACCTATTTATCCGCCGAATGACCATTTCTTGCTGCCTCTCCCCCACCTCCTTGTTATTGCCTATTTTCCTTTTCTTGCAAGGTCAACCCAAGTACCGCCTTCGGAAAGGTGATGATAAGCAATTTTAGCCAAAGAGGTATAGAACTGAAAAGCATATTCAAGTACGACAATTTGGAAAAACAGCTTTGCAGATTTAAGTCGCTGGGATGGAGTCATGTCTACATAAGTGACATGAACGAGATTTACGATTATCACTTAAGTACGGATGAAAAAAAAAAAATCGAGAAAATTGAAATGTTTGATGAGTTTGAAGAATGGAGGTTGTTACAGAACCATTACTTCATAATAGTTGCGTTTAGTTGTTCAGAAGATTTGAACATGAATGCACTGTATGTTTTTTTAAAGAACATAAAGGATACGTGGGGAGGATTTTCTCCAAATGTGTGAGAGGACAGTTTTTATATAGTAGGCGTTGTGTGTGTCATATGTTTAGTGACATGTTACCTCAGTTGTGTTTCTCCCTCCGTGATATGTTTCCTAGTGTAACCTGTTTTTTGTTTTTTTAGTGCCCCCAGTTCTTATCCGCTGTGTCCGCATCGATAAAACTACACCTGCTCATCATGCGCAACTCGTTGATGTGTAAAAAACGTACCAACTCGGTGCACACACGTATTGGTGTTGGCATTATTTGCATTTATGAACCACGTGCCAGGTTGTGCTATAAAAAGTTGCTGGCTCTCAAAAGGGCAACACACTTTTTGAGGGCAAAATGTGAATGTTGGGCGTTGACCAAACAGGGATTATATGTGTACACTGTTCTTGGCACGGTGGGGGAGTAAAACGCTCAGCCCATGGGACGGGTTAGGGAAATGGTAAAGAAGCTTACAGCGCTATAATTGCGCTTTATTTCACTTGCTTTTTTTTTTTTCTTTCTTTTTTTCTGCTTGGGAAGGCCATGAAAAAAATAAATTTCCATTCTGTCATCTGCACCTCAGAAGATTTTTCAGTGGGAAGATCTCGATTGGTATAAAAAAGGCGAAAAAAAAATATATATATATGTCACAAACCGGGTATCATTTCACATTGAGTACGTACATAGTCGCATACCTCTGTCACACAGCACTATTTACACGCCTCGTGCCTACTTCATGGTGAAATGCGGTGTGGCATCAAAGTGAAACGTGAGAGTGTGAAAATTTGCGTCAAGTGAACTGCGTTTAGCGGCGAATGCTTCCTGCTGTATGTCCAACGAGAAAACAAGTATGCATTTCTCGACGCGCATGAATAAGAGGAAACAAAAATGTGCAACACAACAGGCATGTAAAATGAAGTGAACACAGATAAGAAAAAAAAAAACACGCGCCTACACCTTTTGGTCATTCGTTCGAACATTTTTCATTTTTATTATATTTCTTTTTTTGTGAACAAGTGTGGATTTTCGTCCCATTTGAGTATTTTCGCATTATCGCATTGTTGCTTGCCACAATTTCACATTTCTCCCCCATTTGGACCCTGCCCATGTTAACAGCGCAAGTGTGAAGGATTGAGTAGAGAGGGTACGATCCATAGCACACTGGCGAGTGCCCCCCTCTTCTTCCCCTCCCGTGACAGAGGAATTATGTCCTTTGAAGAGCCCTCTCTCCTCCGCATTTAAAAAGAAAAAACTTGTGTGAACCATGTTTATATTCGAAACCGCGCAACACTACTTTAACTTCTTCCGGAATTTTAATGGATGCTACACAGATAACAAGCTGCTGAAATATTTTTTTAAAAAAAGTTACAACAACTGGTTTAATGATCCTAGTCAGTACAACTACTACTTTATTTCGTACTATGCAGTGGCAATTTCTTTTTCCGTTTTGATGAGGAATTTGCTGTTCAACCCGGACGTTCATTTTAGGAGACAGGACAAGAGAAGAAACATTGTTGATCGATATCAGCACCATGCATATTCAGTCCCCTACTACAACCACTGGTTAAGGAATTTCAGCCAGTCTTTTAAGAGCACACTCATAGACAACGAACCAGATTACCAGGATGAGGATCCTATGCATATTCGCCCCAAGAGGGTTCAGTTTTATGGAAGGTTCCCATTGTTCTTTGAGGTCCCAAAGTACGGCGTCGACGACCCCTATTACGAAAAGAATTCTCATAAGTACATGCAAAAGTACTACGAGAGTATTGGGTATGTGAAACCGAGCGAGACACTGGAGGCTTAAGTTGCCAAGGGGAAGCACAAGAGGAAGAAAAAGAAGATGAACAAGGAGGAAGACGACGATGATGACGATGGCGAAGAAAGGACGGAATTTCCCCCCCGGGAAAGAATCCAAATAAACGTGTTTGAAAAACGTTTAGGCGCTTGTGTACGACGCTTCCTTTTTTTTTTTTTTTTTTTTTTTTCTCATCCAGTGGATACGCACAAAATTTAAGACACCCATTTGTGCAGGGGTTGTAACTTCTCCTGGTTTTGTGGCTAACACATGGTTTTCCCTTTTCGTCTGCTTCCCTTTTGAACCTCATACTAGATGTTACTTTTAAAACATTTACGCATCTCAATTGGTACTTTCAACAAAGTAGTCATTGCGTGAGGAATGGAGTATCTCCTTTCCAGCGACGAATATGTACCCCCCAAAAAAAAAAAAAAAATGACAACGTGGTTTCTTGCATAATCACAAAAACATAGCAGCACTAAGTACCTACTTGTGGAAAAAAAAATAGACCTCTCGTAATGCTATCACTGTGTGCCCATTTTGTCCTATCCGTGTGCAAGCACCGAGTGGTCATATGTCCAGGACCGTTCGTTTTGCTCGAACGGGGAGGTATCTAAGAGTGGACTTATCCTTTAAAAAGGAATGCCCTTCTTTATAATGACATTAAGTTTATTTAAAAGGTGGGCTTTTTTTTCCCCTCTTTCGTGAAAATGTTAAAAAAAAAAAAAAAAAAAAAAATTAAGACCGTACTTGTAAATATAAAATTTTACAAATTATTTCCCAAAAATAAAAAGAATAATGCCTGTACGTGCATGCATATATAACTTTACGCATATACAGTTTCGTGCATATGGTGCCTGGGTGTGACAAATATAGCTCGTTCCGTATGAGCATTTAACAAATTTACAAATCTTAAAAATTATTTCTTAAATTTTCGTTAATAGTCTATTTAAAGTGGAAGCATCAAAGGGGGAGATGACAATAATGTTCTGTCGCGTGCATGTGTGTGTGTGTGTGGTGATGGCGTCTGCTGATGATGGGCTTGTCACCACGTGCGTATGGGTGCTAAATGCACGTACGCATTGGTTTCATGTGTAAAAGTTGCTATAAAAATCAGGTTCGCAGTTGTACGTGCGTGTTACACTGATCACATTTCGTTGGATGTGCCTTTCTTGTGGCTTGCCTTCCGTCTCATGCCATCCCCCCTTATGTCTTCCAATTTTTGTATATTATTTCCATTTATCAAGGACACCCTTAGAGAAAGGTGTGGGTTTTTTCCTTCACATTGTTGCTGTGATATTGCTGCGGGTTATAATTACAAGTATAATTATTTTCTTGCGCAGAGTATTGGTGAGTGAATTTGTAAGGAACTCCCTGTGCATTAGGGTTCACATACATTGTGGAGTTTACATTTAGCTTTACGTTTTGTTGAACAGTGGGGTTCATTTTTGCCATGATGTTATTTAAATGATTATGTGCGACGCTGTTGTCTATATTTTGGTTAATCATATTTACAGGGGTATTTTTTGTTACTGTACTTTCTGCGTTATTTAAAATTTCGTTTAGTGTGTTTTCGGTCCTTCTAGTGTTTATCTGCTTGTTCATGGCTGTACTCACGTTGCTGCTTGGTTGGATATTCACCTGGCCACTGAATTGGTCGGCCATTCGACTGGTCATGCGGTCAGTCAAACGCTCGGCCACAAGGTCACTCATATGATCGCTCATTTGATCGCTAATTTGGCTATTTAGGTGGTCACTTACGTAGCTGTTTCGAGAGCTACTCTGTTGGTTAATTAGTTGGTTGTTCGGAAGTCGGTGTTGGGGGAGTTGACTTTTGGTTAAATTACTTCTGGGGAGATGCATTTTGGGGAGGAGGTTTTGGGCGATGAGGCTTTCGGGGAGGAGATTTTGGGCGATGAGATTTTGTGGGATCAGATTTTGGGCGATGAGATTTTGAGGAAGGATACCTAGGGGGATGAGGTTTTTGGCGAGGTGGTTCCTGATCCTCTGGGTGTCCATTATTTGGCTATCGAACTGGGAGCTGTTGCTCATGCTGTTGCTCATGCTGTTGCTCATGCTGTTGCTCATGCTGTTGTTCACGCTATTGCTCATGCTGTTGCTCATGCTGTTGCTCATGCTGTTGCTCATGCTGTTGCTCATGTTGTTGCTCATGTTGTTGCTCATGCTGTTGTTCACGCTGTTGCTCATGTTGCCGCTATTGATAAGCCCGTCGCTGATCATATCTTCGCTGATGTATTCTTCGTTGGTCATCTCTTCGTTGACAATCCCGTCGTTAAGCAGCTCTTCATTCAGCTGCCCATCGTTCATGATCCCCTCGCTCAATAACCCATCGCTGAGTAACCCGTCGCTGAGAAGCCCCTCACTAAGCAATCCCTCAGTGAGTAACCCTTCGTGTAGCAGACCATCAGATATTTGGTTATCACCAACAATTGCGCTGCTTACTTTATGTGCGCTATGATTCGCATGATTTTTCCGATTCTGAATAGCGCTCATATTGGTGGCCGTCGTGGTGGCGGCGGTAGATGTAGTGGTACTGGTGGCAGTAATGCCATTATTATTCAATTTGAAATAATTATTTATCATGTCTTTATTTATCTCTACATTTGATTTGGTGGGAATGCTGTTTAAATTCATCATGTCATTTGTTCGGTTGGTTGGAACGTTGTTACAATCGTTTAAAAGTATATTTCCTTGTTTGGTGGGATTATTTTTTGAGTTTCTATTTTTGTCGAAATTGTTAATTTGGTTGTTGGTTACCATTTGTGTTGCCATCATTTTGGGCAGTTCCCCGTTTTGAGAATTTCTGTGATTCAGGGATGAAGGGCAGGAAAGGGGGGTGTTGTTCCTTGGAACGGTTGAGTCGTTTGAACATACGTTTTGTATGTTCTTCATGAGGTTACCATTGAGAATATGGTTGCTGACTGCGTTTGGACTCATGTTGTTACATGCCGGGTGGTTGTAATTATAGACGTACCTTTGGTGAGGGTTCATGTCATCACTTGATATGTCCTCGCTCTTGCCCGATTGGGTTCGTTGGTTGTTGGTGCTCACTCCGTTGAGGTATGCATCCTGTAGCTGCACATCTCGCGCGTTCATATTTGACACGTTTACATCCCTCGCTTGTTGGACCTGCACCTGCATGCCCTGATTATGTGCACCGACATTTGTCTTCCTCATGTCGTCGTTGTTAACCAAATTGTACTGAGCCAGCGCATGGTGTGTGGACGTCATTCCATTGTAAGGAGATGATAACGGACTCAGATTCATATTAGGGTTCAAAAGGATATTGTCATTGTACTCATTGTCATCAGTATAGCCAATATCATTCGATAGGTTAGACAAGTTAGACAAATTAGAAACGTTTGACAAAATTGAAAAATTTGACACGTTAGAAATGTTGGAGACATGGGACACATTAGGAACATTTACTGTCTGCATAGCATAGCCGAATTTATTTTTGAGTTCTTGCAATTTCTGGTAGGATGGGATCTGCCCTTTTCCATGGTCATTGTTCTGCAGAGTATTAGGAATGTTTATTGTTCTACTTGTGGGTATATTTGTGTGCATTTCGTGTTGGAGATTGCCTGATTCGTTCAGGATATTCTTTACATACTCTTCTTTGCACTGTCTACTGGCTATATTATCCTTAACGGATGAATAGCATTTGAAATTTAGATGATTTGTATTAATGGTATTGTTACCGAAATGTTCATTTGCTGAACCTTGGTTGTTACTACTACAACTGCCTCTACTGTTGTACTTGGTTATTGCGCTTACCTGTGTGTACTGGTTTCCACTGCTACTGAGACTGTTACGATGCGTCTCGTCGCAGCCATTCGTGTTGTACATGTACCCTCCTTGGTTGCTGTTGGAGCTGGAGTGATCCTCTGTCAAATGGCTATTTTGATTAAAATTGAGAAACAGGTTGTTTGCAATGTTGAGCGCGTGGTTTGTTGGCGGGGAAGAAGCGTTATCTAGGTCGTTGCTTTTGTATAGGGCATTTAAATTGGCTGTAAATTCGAGCGCCGCATCCCGCAGGTTTGCAATGTTGGTGCTTGTCTCGTTTTCTGTTGCTAGGTTAGCGGTAGTCACGGCATTCGCCATATTTAATTCCTTCTCAGCGAGTTCCGCCATTTCAGCAAGCTCCTCATTGAGTGCTTGCATATTCACGGAGCTCTTGTCATTGTAACCCGACGAATACAGATTGTAGTACTGCTTCACGGTGTCGAAGTCGACTCTGTGGTTACCGCCTCCGTGGTTACCACTTCCGAAGTTTCCACCACCATGGTTGCCGCCACCCTGACTACCATCACGACTACCATTACCACTGCTACTACTGCTGTTGTTGTTGTTGTTGTTGTTTCTTTTGGAGTTCCCCTTGACATTTACATTAATGGACTTTATCCGATCCTCTATTGGTATCAAGTCTATCAAGAAATCAAACATATCTCTTTTGCAAGCAGCGGAAATCACGTCCTGTCTTTGCAGTGTTCTACGTTTGCTTTCTTCTGTATACTTCCACGCATAATTAGTTAACTCCATAATGAAGAGCTCGCAAGCTTTAGCCAATAGAACAGGGGTGTCTGCTGACACCATCTGATTACTTTTTATTTCATCATCTTCTTTCATAATTTTTTTAATTCTAGAAATGGGTAAATTATGGGTTCTTAAATCTTCTACACTCATATTTGAAATTTCGGCTAGCTGGTTTTTCCAAAAGGTATCAACCTCATCATCTTTGACACTTTTTACATTCATATCTACATATATCGGGGGTTAGAAATGCAAGAAAAAAAAAAAAAAAAAAAAAAAAAAAACAGGGGGGAGGAAAAAAGAGAGGAAGGGTAAAACGGAACAATTATGAGGACAACACCACGGCTGGTCCGCCAGGATAAATAATCAAAGCTTCCTCGGACACTACGACTTGGTAAGTATGAACAAATCAACTCATTAATAAATGGGAAAGCGAAATTTTGACTATCCAACTGCATTTGCGATTTGCATATGCTTGAATGTGCCTGATGGTTGCATCTCGATTTCAGTTCGCCCCCTTATATATATACATACATGTACAATTCGGAAGTAGTTGCTTAATAATGTGTGGGGTGTTGGAAACAAAGGCGGCTTAGAAAATCGACCTACGCCTTGTTACGAAAATGAGGAGGAAACGAAAAACATTATTACACTTTTGGAGGAGACAATGTGCCACAGTAATGTGTGCTCAACAAATATGCACTTGGACATATGCATGTTTGGTGTCTTTCATAACTGTGTCTTGAGTGGATTAATAAAAATCTGTTAAACAGTTAACCATTTGGGAAGGAAGGGCGTCTTCTACTTCTACCTGATGGTCATTCTGTGATTAATAACTATTTGGACAATTTGAAAATGTGCACAAATGTGTGTTCCCCTGTTGCGGCGCTATGTTGTAAGCACCACTACAGGGTGGGGGTGCGGATGCTCAGTCAGTTGAATGTGATGCTAACGATTTAGCTTAGCCATGTGAAGGACAACGAATGCGCGATGCTTCTCCTGTGTTCTACTAATTTTACGCCACTCTTCTTTGTTTAATTCCGGACCGTTGTGAGGAGCTTAGTAGAATTACTCCACAAGAAAAATTTCACTAACATATGGGGGGAAAAAAAAAAGTGGGGAAGAGAGTGGGCAGTGGAAGGGAAAAAGTGTACACACATGCTTAACCGTCTATACAACTAATGCGAAACAGCGCCACACAAGTAGAAATGGAGTGCGTTTCCCCACTACTTTGTCGCTTTTTTCGATTTTCCATTTTGTCATGTTGCCATTTTTTCCTTTTTTCTTTTTTTGCCCCCCTGTGCGTCCTTTTCTTCACTCGCACTCTACCACTTTTGCATGAACAGGCAAGAAAATTGTGAAGGGAAAAAAAAAAAAAAAAAACATATACAAACGAACAAGCATGCGAATAAGTGGAGATGCGAAAGGGTTGTACAAACAAGCAATGCAAGTGTTCACAATATTTTAGCGACCAAGAGGAATTTTAAAAAATCATTTGCAATGGCTTATGCACTAGCATGTGCGGTTCCTACGCACGGGTACGCGCAAGGGGTACTCCAAAGGATGCCCGCAGGGTGTTTATGCACATACACATGTGAAGGAGGGAAACAGCAATGTGCCACGGCCAAATTACTTGTACATTATCCCATTAAACAGGAAAAAAAAAAAAAGGTTAAATACACAACACTTGTAATTTTCCTTGTACACCCCCCTCATTAGCCGAGCGCGCAAACATGGCAATGTAAAATAATTCATTGCGTATTTACAAACGGGTGACTATATGAAAGTACACATGTGCATTAAGAGTGAACATTAGAATACATAGCACTGCATTATTGAAGAAAGCAAAGGGGTAAAAATATTCGATGTGGTGGGAATTTCCAAGCGGTGTGAGCAGTGGAAAAGGAAAAAACGGTTAAGCTCATCCACTTGCATAAGGCAAGCGAAGGTAGCTTGTACGCACGGATATGCCTCTATGGGCAAATAAATATGCTAAATTAAAACAACGGGTGAAGAAAAAAAAAAAAAAAAAAAAAAAAATTACGTAACGGGTAAAATACGGAGCAACGCAGAGTAGCGTGGTAGGACAAGGCTTCTGTACATATGTGCACTGATGCATACGTATATTTCGGAATGATTTAAATCCCGTTGTGTACATTTCGACAGGCACTTTGTAATCATGTATGCGCCTTACCGGTATAGCATAATTTCTTGGCGAGGAGGAAAAAGAGGGGATGTCGTTATAAACATATATAGTTTTTCATAAAAAGGCGTGATACAAGTGGAGCTACGAAATTACGTACACACACAAAATGTGGAAAATACATATCTGTGCGTTCATCATACACACATGAGCATTTGTGTAACACTTCGTGTGAAACATGTTACAAGGGATGGTGCATGAACATTTAAGGTTCTTTTTCAAAATTACTGAAGGAGATTATGCACTTTTTTTACACAACAGGTTAACAACAAAAAAAAAAAAAAAAAAAAAAAAAAAAAAAAAAAGTGGTAGCATTTTTCGGGGGATTCGTGGGTGAACTGGCGCACTTCGATGTTATAGCAGCGTAAATGGGGTATGTAGAAAAACTTTTTTTATTTTTTTCCTTCTTCTCTTTTTTACTTAAGCCATCAGCATTTTTGATATACCATCGGGCATCATGGAAGATAAGTAGAATCGACGGAAGGGGGTTGGTAGAATTCCTGAATTTTGGAACAAATTTCCTTTTTGTGCCTGTGTTGAATTTGTTTTGAATTTTCTGAATTTTCCAAATTTTCCGAATTGGCTAAATTTTTGTTTGGTCACAAGTTGTTCTAAGTCACTTGTAGGCATTCCACTTGGAGCCAGTCTGTGGCAGTTGATTTTTTTTCACTTTTCCCTTTTTCCGAATTCATGCATCAATAAAATCGAACGAATTGGCATAAAAAACAGTGAAAAGGCAAAAAAAAAAAAAAAAAAAAAAAAAGAAAAAAAAGGGAAAAAACACAAAGCGCAAAGCACTGTTTTGTAAAAATGTACACTTGTATGTGCAGTCACATGTACATTTCACATATCGACATGTTCACAATTATACATAATTAAAAAAGGAAAAATTGAAAAAGAATTGGGCGATGTGTACAAAACGGGTTTTGCTTTCCCTCTTTTGCTTATATTTTATATTTGTACTTATGTGTATACATGTATATATGTGCGTACACTTTAGTTTGCGCGTCCACCTTCACATAAATGAAAAAAATAAAATAATAATAAAATAAACAAAAAAAAAACAACTCGGGAAAAATAGCGAAAAAGGCGAAAAGAACGGAATTTAAAGAAAAAGTGAAAACAAGTACGGAAAATGCTGAAGAATCAGAAAAATTGGCAACAAATCAGGTAAAAAAAAAAAAAAAAAA